TCCGCTTCCATTCTACACCTTTCACGCACTTCCTCAATCAGTGCTTTCGTGTGAACTTTCTGCAGCCTATATCTTTCTTTCATCTTCTCTCTCATATCCTTATCATTACTAGAGGCTAAGTAGTCTAACCATGCTTTCTTCTTCTTCTTTACAGCTTCTTTCACTTCATCATTCCACCATGCATCTCTTCTTTTACTACTGCCTCTTTTTATTGTTCCACACACTTCTTCCGCTGCACTTACCATTCCATCCCTAAGATTCTGCCATGTTCTTTCTACACATTCTTTTCTGCCATCGATGGTGTCAAGCTTTTCGGCTACCCTCGCATGATATTTGTCCCTAGTATCCGCTTCCTGAAGCTTCCAGCTTCGGATGCGACAGACCGACTGTGGTTCTGTTACTGCCGTCCGGTAGCGCCAACCCGCGAACAGACCCCTAAATCTAGTAATCACTAGATAGTGATCCGTTCCCAGGTCAGCACCCCTGAACACTCGCGTATCCATCACCTGTTTTCGCAGTCGGTCATCCACCAGGAACAAATCGATCATACTTCTCTCATTCTTTCGTTCTCTAGTATACATATGGATTTTCTTGTGATTAAACATAGTGTTTGTCACAAGAAGACCCTTTTCCTTGCACACCGCCAGTATAAGCTTGCCAGCATCATTAACCCTTTTATCGCCAAACTTTCCAAGTACCGACTCGTACCCTGGTCGAGCGGTACCAACCCATCCATTCAAATCACCACCTACAACAATTCTTTCGTTTCCCCTAGCCAAATCTAGAACTTCTCTTACATTCTCCCAAAACTCCTCCAGCTCAGCCCTGGACGACGAAGCTACCGGTGCATAAACAGCCAAAAGGAATAACTTCGTCAGTCCCAATTTAAAGCGAACCTAGAGAAGTCTTGAGTTCACAACCTTATATTCAGTCATAACATCGACCAACCGAGAAGACAGCAGCACCCCCACTCCCTGGCAGGCGTTCTCGCTCTCCGGGACTCCGGACCATAGAGCTAACGCCCCGCCAGGGAGCTCTTCAGTACCACTGCCCTTCCGCTTGGTCTCCGACATACACACGACATCTAATTCTCTTTCTTTCATTATTTCGATCAACTCATTCGTCTTATCTCTCATGCCTCCTCTAACATTCCACGTGCCAACTCTGCACTCTGTCCTCCACCTTCCGCCGTGTCGGGCTGTGCGTGACGGGTGGCGGTCCCCATCGCCGCTTTGCGCGCTGCATTTCACACCAACGGGGACGAGCTGGTGTGCGTCGCCTTGGGGGGACGCCCTAACCCTCGTTGGCATGGGTGCGCAGCTAGTAGAATTGCAGCCCTGAAAAGGGCTGGCAGGGGTCGCGACGAGCACGCTTCTACAAAGACCCCCAATTATAGATGCATTATCTATTCCCTCATTGCCGTAATTCGATGGAGCGGCAAACTGTCATGACCAAAGAGATCAGGCGCAATACGGCTTTACATGTTTTCCAGGTGACTCCGAGCTATAATTGAGCGATAAATTTTATTCTTGAAAGGAAAAGTTTTTGGTTTACAACAGATGGCAAAACTTTTTTGAGAATATGGAATGTTATTTATACAATGTGCAAACTACTTGGTATTTGCGGTTTATTAACAAGTTTATTTTCTTAGTTCTGAACGTTGATTTTTCAAATCGTTTTAATTATCTTAATTTACCATATTTTCAGGTACATTGCTGGTGGTATTACAATAACGGTGAGTGATATGCAATCTTATTTCCACTTTAATTTTTCTTAGTTTGAAAACGAAAATGAAAAATTTTGATGTTTTTTGTTCAAGACATGCAAGTTCAGATTATGGTTTATGAATATAACTCATAATCTGTATAAACATGAGTTATTTATATATCCTTAATTTATTGATTTATTTTAAAGTATGTAGGCCAATTTAACAGAATTTATTCAATATCTTGTTTTTTTTCAAAGTTGAGAGATTTTATTATTAAAACAGATAAGTTTACTTAGAAAAGATTAAAAATCTAAATATATATATTTCAGTACATACAAAATGTTTCCATAGATACATAGAAAGCACGTGTCTCTTGCAAAAGGAATACTATTTCTAACTCGGCAGCAGATCCCCACAGTATTACACAAATGTACATGATTTTAAAGAACTTAATTTCAAAGCTAGTGTGGCGGCGCTGTCTGCGCGCCACAAGCGAAACACATCAAAGCCTAAATCGCACTAACAAAGTTCCGAAGTTAAAGCAGCATATATAGAATGGTTCCGAACCTCCAATCGGAGCGTTGGCCGCTCCCCGGGCAGAACACGTTGCCCGGCGGGAGATCTCCCCTTTTCCTTCCACCCGCCACAGTGGTGACCCTGACGTGATATGAACACGCAACCAATAACTTTCGGAAAACACAACTTCAAACATCGCCATCATCCTGATGTACCCCTTTCATTCGCTCCCGAGCTGATATTGTCTGCAGTCTTCCCATTCTGCAAGCCATCTAGCTTTACAAAGGTTCATCGCAGCGCTGGAATAATAATGCTTCCTGTTTCTTCAAGCTACTCTCTGCGCTACAGTGTTCGGCATGGCTCTGAGCCTTACTGATCGCCTCTGCTTCACGGAACTCTCGCAGATTAATTGCCTTCTTCTCGACTCACCGTAGACTACAAGGCAATCCCTGGCACTTGCAATCTGACTGCACTATCGACCTCCGGTCTCAGCAGGGGGGTGATGTGGCGGCGCTGTCGTCGCGCCACAAGCGAAACACATCGAAGCCTAAATCGCACTAACAAAGTTCCGAAATTAAAGCAGCTTATATAGAATAGTTCCAAACTACCAATCGGAGCGTTGGCCGCTCCCCGGGCAGAACACCTTGCCCGGCGAGAGATCTCCCCTTTTGCTTCCACCCGCCACACTAGTATATCAATATGTAGTGCTCACTACTGGAGCTTTGAATCCAGGAGGAGAATTGGAGAGATTGGAGGGAATTCCAAGAAATACTTTAAATATTTTGTTTTCCTGCGTACAGAATCAAATTATTTGCTTCAGTACTTTTGTAACAATATCCAGTATTTGTTTGAGCCGTTTATGTGCCAAATAGATTATTTTAAATTTAAATAAAAATGAGGTATCATTAGCAAACAGGACTATTGAAAACAATTTGTACAATACGTAAAAAATTATTAATGTGGACTGTGAACAAAAAAAAACCAAGTATTGAGCTCTGAGGGATACCCACGTAATAAAAGTGGGATGAAATAGTGGGTGTTCCTCAGGGTTCTATGACACCACACCGTTGATTACAATCTTTTGCTTCCGGTGTTATGGATATGACTATAAAAAGTCAAGTGTGAATGTCGAAGTGTTTAAGTTTATAAATTAAATTTTTATGATGCACAAAATCAAATGCCTTTCAAAGATCACAGAAAACACTGACACTGTCATGGTACTCTTTCCAGGACAGTAAGCCTAATACTACGACACAGGAATACTAATTTTATACTTTCATTCGTTCTGGGTCTTCTTTTTTGAATCCATATTAAAACGTTGTACGTGGTAGAGCCATGCTGCAGCTATATTAATAGTATAGTAGTAGCACGAATGGGTCGGCTCGATCGGGGAAGGACCACGCTCTCACAGAATACCAGCGTAAAATAGCAGCTTAACGCTACTTTGTTTCGTATGGTGAGTGTAGAGAACCGGAGACCCTTTTTGCGGGAAAAGGGGAATTCCATCTTAGTCCTCACGGCTGACAACGCATCTGCATTTTGATTCGTAAACGAAGATAGATGTAGATGTCTATGGGCCACAGCATCCACTTTCCATCAGGTGGACTGTGTGCTCGTTTGTCACCCTTATTCTATAAAAAAAAAACTACCAATTGGGATACGTCAAACTTATGAACAAGCATATGTACATGCCTGAAGAATAAAATATTTTGAGAATATAATTCGTATTTACGAGATATACCAGATGTAAAGTTGCGAGACCTACTACGATCGCTCTGTTATTTATCTGTCAATTCTATAGAAAATATTTTCGTCTATAAAAAAGTGCAGTGGACTCCTTATGGCCTGACGGGAATGAAGAACTTCTCCATGATTGAGAACGGTGATAATATTTCATGAAACGTTTAATTATCCAAAAAAAATCGCTAAAGTATATTTGCATAAATCAAATTTTACTTGGGTATAAGTCCGTTGCGTAATCTAATGACGATAAAGAGGGAAAGAAATTTGTTAGATTCCAGGCTGATTGTGAAATTAGATTAAAGAAAATTTGTGATTAGGAATCCCTATCTGTTAATGTTATAAGGGTTTTTGCAGTTGATTTATTTACTTTGACAATACTTGTTATCAAAAATTTGAAATGAAAGTATGATTTCAAATATTTTTCTTGTTAAATACAGAATACGCCATCTAGTGGAGACGTTAAGAGTCCAATAACCCATATCATCACATAAGTATCGCAAGAAAAGAAATTTAAATAGGTAATGGGCAGCAGTACCTAATAAAAACTCAAAATAATAACAAACTTTTTACGTGGTAGAGCCATGCTACAGCTATATTAGTAGTATAATTGTGGCACGAATGGGTCGGCTCGACAGGGGAAGGACCACGCTCTCACAGAATACCAGCGTAAAATAGCAGCTCCACGCTGCTGTGTTTCGTATGGTGAGTGCAGAGAACCGGAGACTCTTTTTACTGGAAATGAGACATTCCATCTTAGTCCTCACGGGTGACAACGCATCTGCATTTCGATTTGCAAACGAAGATAGATGTAGATGTCTATAGGCCGCAGCAATCACTTACCATCAGGTGGACTGTGTGCTTATTTGTCACCCTTATCCTATAAAAAAACTGCGATAGCCGCCTACATGGCCTTGCAACTATCGTAAATATGATGCCCCCTATGAGGCACTCTGTGGGAACATTTGATGGCCTGTTATGAGTTAATTACTGAAATATAGAATGAACATTTTTACATCCTTTGTTACAGGTCAATATGTCGATCTCAGAATTCAGACGGAAGAAGCTTCTCTATGTTTTTAACGTATTCTTTGGTAAATTCTTCAAATTTAAATAAATAGATTCTTTTATATATCATACATTACATAATATTTTTGTATATTTCTTCAGATGTCAATCAGAGTGGAACCATCGAAAGAAAGGACTTTGAAATTGCTATTGAAGTAAGTTTTTAGTTTGTATATATGTCTTATCTTTAGATTATTTCTTAATATCAATAAACTTTAATGCCTGTTTTTTTTTTAAAGAAAATCTGCAGCCTGCGAGGCTGGAAACCAGGAGACGCTAAGCATACGGAAACGCACGAAATAATGATTAAGATTTGGGATGGGTTAAGGAAGAGGGCTGATTCTAACAAAGACGGTCAGGTACGCTAATTATTTCACTGCCATTTTATCCATAAAATTTATGTTTTGAAATTTCCCAAACTTTTCAAACAAACTTTAATCACTTTTTATTATTGAAGATACTGTTTAAATTTTTTCGAACCTCTTTTAAATGTTTAACGCATTATTTTAAACTAAGTACGTAAAGTTTTTTTAAATCATAACATGTTTAGCTAGCCTGTTATGAATTTGATTATAAACTAGCTGTTCCACGCGACTTCGCCCGCGTGTTATTTGTGGTTTTAATTTTTTCTGCGCGGAATCCTAATTCTTTTTCTAAAATAAAAGTAGCTTAAGTTACTCCTTGTGACATCAGCTATCTGCCAGTGAAAATCCCGCCAAAATCGGTCCAGCCGTTTCGAAGTTTAGCCGGAACAAACAGACATACAGACGGACAGACAGACAGACAAAAACTTTAAAAATTGTATTTTTGTTATTAGTACCCTATATATCATATGCATTTAGTAATAAGATGTAATTTTGACATTACAAACAGACACTTCAATTTTATTTATTTGTATAGATGTATAGACTAGGTGGTTGGGCACCATATTATACTTCGGCCAGTCTGGGTGGGTACCACCATCTTATCAATTTCTGTCGCAAAATAGCAGTGGTTAACCTGCTGTGTTCCGGTCAGTATGGTGAGCCAGTATAATAACTACAGGCTGTAGTGCATTTCACCTTAACCTTGATAGATGATGACGCATCTGTAGCCTTCTTCGTTGGAAGTTGGCTGCAGGTGGCCGTGAACTGCAGTACCAATTACCATCAGGTTTACTGTAAGTTACTTTGTCACTTCAGTTTTATAATAACTACTAACTGCAACCACTAGACTAACAACAGCCTCGTTGGTCTAGTGCTTGTAAACGCGACTGTCAATTATGAAGTCCCGGGTTCGAATCCCGGGTCGGGGTCAAATCAGTTAATAAGTTTTTCCGTCAAGAAATTCTCCGTAGCTGCCAGGAGTCAGGAATGGCAGTGTCTCAATTTCGTGCCTCGGAAAGCACGTAAAGCCGTTGGTACTTCGCCTGATCTCTGTACGGTCGTGTCGGTATACCGTTCCATCGGACTATGAGAGTGAGGGAATAGAGAGTGCACCTGTGCTTGCGCATACACTTGGGCACTATAATCCTGTCCTGCGAGAATGGCTAGTCTCCGTTGAGGTTGGCGTTAGTTGGAGTGAGGACATTATTATTATGATAAAAATTACTTGTTCTTGTACATTTATATGTAGCCATAATTACTTACGTATTTATCATTGAATAGGTGTCAGTGGAGGAGTGGGTCTCAATGTGGAACGACTACGCTCAAAACCCATCGGCTGCGCTAAAATGGCAGCAGCTTTACTGTCATTTCATGTTCCAACTAGAAGACGCTAGTGCTGACGGTTCTATTGACTGTGATGAATTTACTACTGTCTGCTCATCCTATGGCATTGATCCACAGGAGTGCAAATTAGCCTTCAGCAAGATGGCCAAGGTAACTTACTTTTTTACATTTTACACTTTTTTGCGTAGTTTTTGCTCGTATAACAAGTAAACCTTTAAGAGAGTAACATACCTATAATTGATCTGTTTCTTTACTCAGCTTTGTCGTTTTAGGTTCTGAGTAAATTATAATATTTTATATACTTCCATAAATATTACGTCTGAAAACAAATTTAAAAATAGTATTTACAATTCAAGCATCTTTTTTTTTTTAATTAATTCGAAGTATTTTAAGATACGGAACATTTATAATTTCATGGGCTAGTTTAATTTTATCTTAAAAAAAAATTGGAAGGATTTGAAAGCCACAGACAGACATAGATTTATCAAATATCATGTCTTTACCTTTTACAAATTTAAAATTAGAATTAATTTTACAGGGCCATGCCAGTGTCTCGTGGGAAGAGTTTCAAGAACTTTGGAAAGAGTACTTCTCTACTGAAGATCCAAATGCTGCTGGCAATTTCATATTTGGAAGAACCAGCTTTTAAATTACTTTGAACGCCCATTTTGGGTTCATGTAAAATTGACGAGCAAAATAAAACCGTCTATATTTAATTCTGTAATGTAATTTGCAGATTTGACTAACAAGGTATTTCGTGTAAGAATTTCAAGTGGCATTGAGTGAAGTAGCTCAGTTAGTCAGATTTTTATCGTAACATTTGTGTGACACTTTTATGTCCGAATAAGAATCAATTTTTAAGTGTGTCCGTGTCATGTCACAAAATTTCCTTCCTGCTAGTGAATCCATAGATGTATCGTGTTTGCAACTTTGATGAATCCTTAAATCTAACTATATAAACGCTCAAAGTTTTCATATAACTTCTAAATTCCTAATACGTGCTATCATATTACAACGAATGAATTTGTTCTTTTTCTAATTTGACTATTAATGGCATATCATAGTCATATCTAAATTTATTTAAGAACTTATTGCGTCTTATTACAAAATACGGTTTATTGAGTCTCGGTTTTAAACTAGTCCTTGTCATAAAAGAAGTCAGACAGTTACGGCGACGTATGATTTGCGAACTTTGACATTTGTTGTCAAATTCCATACTTTACACTTTAGTTCCAACTTTATTTTATTGAAAGAATAGTTTATACCTAAGACTCATTATAAACGACTTTTTGTATTAAACCGATCCCTATTACATAGTACTATATATACAAGGCGGTTTTATTACAAAACGTGGTTATTTTATAGTCTCATATTTAAGCTGTGGTTAAAGAAGTGTCTGTTACACGAAAAAAGTCCCTAAAATTAGGTGCCACATGCTTCGCGAAATTTGAGATTTGTTGACAAAATCTATACTTTCGGAACTAATTATTTAAACAGACTCTAGTTCAAACCTGAGACTAATTATAAACGACTTTTTGTTTTAAGTTCGTTTCCGAATTATTACAAAACGTGGTTATTTTATAGTCTCGGTTTAACAAGAGTCTTTTTCACGAAAAAAGTCCCTTAGTCTTGGAGCCACATTCTTCGCGAAATTTGATATTTGCTGTCAAATTTCGTACTTTACATTTAGTTCGGAACTTATTTACCGAAACAGACTGTAGTTTAAACCTAAGACTAATTATAAACCATTTTGTGAAATAATACCGATCCCGTTTTAGTACAAAAGGTGGTTTATTTACAGTATTGGATTTAAGCTATAGCTTAAGAAGAGTCTTTGTCACAAAATAAGTACCTCAACCACGGCGCTACAGTTTACGCGAAATTTGATATTTGCTGTCAAATTTCATACTTTACATTTAGTTCGGAACTTCTTTGTTGAAATCGACTATAGTTTAAACCTAAGACTAATCTTAAACCACTTTGTGAAATAAAACCGATTCCAGTTTATTACAAAAGGTGGTTTATTTACAGTTTTGGATTTAAGCTATAGCTTAAGAAGAGTCTTTGTCACAAAATAAGTACTTCAACCACGACGCTATAGTATACGCGAAATTTGATATTTGCTGTCAAATTCCATAGTTTACATTTAGTTCTGAACTACTTTATGAAACAGACTAGTTTTGACCTAAGAAAAATAATAAAACACTTCGTGTAATATAATTACACGAAGTGGTTTATTATTTTTCGTTAATATATTTTATAATTCGGAATATATATTTCGTTAATATATTTTTCGTTGATATATTTAAGATTCCGAATTATTAAAAAAAGGTGGTTTATTTATAGTCTCGGACGTAAGCTACAGCTTAAGAAGATTCTTATACTTTTTGCGAAATTTGATATTTGCTGTCAAGTTCAAATACATATATCTACTTCTTATTTTAAGAAAGAATCTAGTTTAAACCTGAGACTATTAATTATGAACTTTGTTCCGTAATAAGACGTATTAAGCATTAGCTGTATTAGATATAATAAAATGCATATTGCGTTTTTATTATTATCTCGTTATTTTTTTTAATTTTATTTATATAGTAGCAAAGTATTTGTTATTGAATTATAAATTGTTTATATTGTAATTAAGATATAATTGAGACTAAAATAACTGCCAACTGCTTTTCGGTCTCATTCCGTGATTCTCGTTGTTTGTTAGTTTAATCGATTCTACATAGTTTTAGTTGTTATTAATTATTTTAATTAATCTTAAAAAGATATTTAATGTTGTTCAACCGCTATTCTATATAGATGTTATAGATATCGATTTATTATAATTAAATAAATAAATGGAATATTATCGTCAAATTTATTGTTTCATTTAAACGTAATACGAATAAATCGACCAAATACTAAAATAATATAAAAAATTCTGTGACAGATCAGCCTAAATGAACAAAATGAAATCATAACCGCAATTTTTTGGTAAATAATGTAGGGATGTAATTGATACAATAGAATAGTTTTTGTAATTGATATAATTGATTAAATTTTAATCAATATTAATTACAAATATATTGGTTGAAAGTCATATAAGCTTTACTATTGATTTGTAAAGAGATCTCTTTCCTGGAAGAACAAACAAGAATCAAAGCAGTACTTTAAAAAAAATGATATTCTGTACATTTAAGTATGAATTTGCTGACAGTTTCCACGACCATGTCATGCATATCGTCCGCTACATTGCGGTCTTCTAGGCACGTAATCAATGAATGATTGAAAAAGAACAAACTAGTAACTCTATTCCATAGAGACGACTCCATTCGTGGATTAATGTATAGTTTTATAACAAAGTTCCAGAAAATACACAAGCAGTATCTAACGGAAAATTTAAAAAAAGAGCTCCCCGTTACAAGGGTAATTAACAAATTATAATAATAAAGGTTGCCGTGTAGTGGCGGTTAAGAATATCCACTACCCCATATCTTCCCGTGGGTGTCATAAAAGGCGACAAAAGGAAACTGGCAGGAGATGGGCAGCAGCGTCTTCCTGGTAACGGCCAAAATACAATAAAAAACTGCGGTTGCCAACCCGCTCGCCAAGCGTGGCAACTATGGCAATATACCCCCCATGATAAAAGTTACGAAGAGATGGCCCCCAGTCCCCGGCGGTCCCGCTATTTCTGGGTAAGGTGGCGACCACGGTAACGGCGGGGCAGGGGGTGCTAAGAATCTCCGGTGGAGGTTCGGTTGCCACCTACGACGACTCGACCTGGCAACATACAACGCACGCACCCTGAGGACTGACGAGAAGATTGTGGAGCTGGAAGAAGAGATAGACAAGTTACGCTGGCATATTATAGGATTATCCGAAGTCCGAAGAGAAGGGGAGGACACGGTAATCCTCGAATCCGGCAACTTGCTTTATTACCGGGAGGGCGACCATCTGTCCCAAGGAGGTGTCGGATTTATCGTCCACAAGTATCTCGTTAACAACGTTGTAAAGATTGCGTGTGTCGACGAGGGATGCGTACCTTATACTCAGAATCACCAAACTGATACAGGTTTACGCACCAACCTCGGCACACCCCGATCAGGAGGTGGAGGAAATGTATGAGGATATCTCTAGAGCCATGCATTCCTCTAAAACCCAATATACGGTGTTAATGGGAGACTTCAATACAAAACTAGGCACAAGAGAGAACGATGAGCTGAAGGTGAGGAAATTTGGAATAGGGCAACGGAATCCAAGGGGCCAGCAGCTAGCCGACTTCTTGGAGAAGGAGGGACTCTTTATGATGAACTTTTTCTTCCAGAAGCGGCCCCACAGGAAGTGGACCTGGTTGAGCCCCGACGGTTCGACAAAAAATGAGATTGACTTCATTATGACGACCAGACGACAACTGTTCAGTGATGTCTCAGTGATCGCGAAGGTGAAAACCGGCAGCGATCACCGAATGGTTAGAGGCACACTGAACCTAAACGTTATGTTGGAGAGGTCTCGTCTAATGAAGTCAACGCTCCGTTCCCCTCGTGTTCTAATCCAAAGTCCCGAAACCTTTCAGCTCGAGTTACAAAACCGTTTTCAGTGCCTAGAAGACTGCAATGAAGTGGACGATTTGAATGACAAGCTCGTGGAAACTGTCCATGCGGTTGGAGCTAAGTTCTTCAAGACCCGCCGCAGAAGAACACAAAAACTCTCCGATCACACTCTTAATCTCATGGATGTTAGACGGGAGATGAAGCTACATTCTTCAACAGATTTGACAGCATACAGGCAACTGAACAGACAGATCTCCAAATGCATGCTGCGGGACTTACGCAACTTCAGTACAGCTCGTATTGAAGAAGCGATCTAACGGAACCAAGGCTCCAAAGTCTTTGCCAGAGATCTGTCTGCCAGAAAGAGCCAACTGTCAAAGCTGAAGACCGAATGTGGCAGCATCGTTTCCGGGGCACCTGAGATTTTGAGTGAGATTGAGAGGTTCTATGGGCTGCTGTACACGTCATCGTTGGAGCCGCACGCAAGTGTGAGTAACGATCCAAGAGCGAGTCTTATCCAACATTATTCCGATGATATCCCGGACGTCAGTCTGAGCGAGATTAGAATGGCTTTCCAGCAGCTTAAAAACGGCAAGGCTCCAGGCGAGGATGGAATTACAGCGGAGCTTCTGACAGCGGGTGGAAAACCGGTACTTGAAGTCCTTCAGAAGCTCTTTAATTCCGTCCGTCATGGTGGCATTACACCGGAGGCGTGGAGCAGAAGTGCGGTGGTCTTGTTCTTCAAGAAAGGCGACAACGCTCTCTTGAAGAACTGCAGACCGATTTCCCTTCTGAGCCGCGTCTACGTGCTGTTTTCGAGAGTCATTACGAATCGTCTCGGGAGCAGACTTGACGACTTCCAGCCGCCCGAACAAGCCGGTTTCCGAAAAGGCTTTAGCACCATAGACCACATACATAACCTTCGGCAAATTGTACAGAAGTCCGTGTACAATTTGCCGAAGTATGTAGACTATGAGAAAACCTTTGATTCTATCGAAATTTGGGCGGTGCTGCAGTCCCTTCAGCGATGCCAAGTTGACGGTCGGTATATTGAAGTTGTTGGGAACACTAAGCTCGAAGTTGTTAACGGGTATATTTACCTGAGATAAATAGTCCG